TGATCACCCTCCAGTATTACTGTTGTCAGTATTGCAGTAGATGAGGTTAGGCCAATGAAATAAGAGGATTTCTTTCTCGCGTCGCGAGAAAGAAATGCATCTAGTATCAAAATTACTATTACTATTATTATTATTATCATCAACTTAATAAGCATATATTTATCATCACCAGGTTCCTTTTATATACGTGAGTCCAGCAGGGTTGATTGCACCAGCACCATCAATAATAGGAAATACTCGCTTTCCCTCCTATGATGTATCTTTCATGTTGGATTTCAAACATCCTATGACGTTCATGGAGAGAGCAATCAGTACTCTGTCTGATGTTGCTATGGACGCTATGTTCTTTTACTATTTATCACCAAGGTATGTAACTATTTTTTTTTCTGTCATTAATCAAACCTTCAAGACACTCGTTGTCCTTTTCTCACCTAACAGTAAATAGGTAACGAGGTGTTCGCGTCCTTATACCTGCTATTGTCCACTTACCAGTAAATAGCTACCTGAAGGTTAGTCTTTTTCCATGTACCCCTTTACCCCCCCCCTCCCCTTCTGGTAGTAAATAGGTTTCTAGGTGTTAAAGTTCTTTCACTAGCTGCTACTTTTTAATTATCAGATTATTGATACCTCTCTGCCAGTCAAGTGTTGTTCCTGCATCCTGGGGGAGGTGGTATATCATAGCTGCGACAGGACTTTCAAAAAACCTAAGGGCCTAAGGTAGTTTAACCGGTAAATTCAACAGTTTAAAGCACCTTTTATTGTAGATAGACTCAAAATTTACTTTAATTTCACCTTACGGATTAAAGTATTTTTTGCCTCTTGGTGGAATTTACATATACACACTTTCTGACGTCCATGTTTTCAGTTGTTTCAGAATCTAACGTACCTAACTAGCGACTGTTTTCTGTCTCTTGTGATCTCGATAAGTTTAAAATCCAACAAATTAAACAAGTCATTGCTTCATGAAAAAATCTGCAGGACCCACATCAGCAAAATATGACGATAATAATTTAAAAATGCAATACCTTTTTTATTACCGGCAATTGATCATATTAAAAAATAAATGACATCTGTAGGCAGAAGAATGAAATATGAAAGAGAGAGAGAGAGAGAGAGAGGAGAGAGAGAGGAGAGAGAGAGAGAGACTGACTGCTTGACAGAGTAGAGAACAGAGCAAGACGTCTCATCTCTCACCTGGACCCATCCTGGATAGATATGTCATTTCAGCAGAGCCTTCAGCACGGGAGGGGTGGCCTTACTGTTATGTACAAGGCCAATATTGTCAAAGTACCACACTTAGATCCACAAGACGGGCAGAAAGCAGCGACTTCACTCTGGCTGTACCCTTCTTCAGAACATCTGTGAAGACCTGTTTGCGCGCTCTCTACGAATTGAAGCAAGATGCCCTCCATCGAGCAACTCTACCAACAGCTTAAGGAAGAATTAAGGATGGCGAAGATGGAGATTCGACGACTGACCGAGGAAAACAAGAAGATTCGTAGTAGTCCTCCTGTTTTGAGTCCTCAGGTCAAGAAAGGAAACTGGTCAGTGGCTGGACAGCAGGGAACGAAGATGATGATCAAGAAGACGAATGGAAAGGTAGAAACGATGAAGAAGAAAGAGACTGCCGTGGAAGCTGTTGTGGAAACATCTAATACATTCTCAGTGCTACCCGACGAATGTGAGTCGACTACTGGGAACGTCACGACGAACAGCACCAAGGAAGGTAAGAATATTGTTGTTGTTGGGATAGCCAAGTTAGGTATATGGATAGGGCGTTCTGCTTGAAGGACAGGAGTAGGAGAGAGAGGGTTTGCTTTCCTGGAGCTGGGATGGAGGATATTGTTAGCCGTCTGGATGACATCATGAGAGGTAATGGGAGCAATCCTATTATCTGTCTCAGTGCTGGAGGCAACGATGTTGGCAGACGTAGGAGTGAAGACCTGATTAGCAGGTATAGGTCAGCAATAGAAATAGTTAGGAGGAAGGGTGGGAACCCTGTCATATGTGGTATTTTGCCAAGGAGAGGAGTTGGAAATGAATGGTTGTCGAGGGCAATTGGTGTCAATTGCTGGCTGGACAAATACTGTAAGGAAAATGCGGTAACATTCATTGACAACTGGGACCTCTTCTATGGCAGAAATGACATGTATGCCAGGGATGGGGTTCACTTATCTAGGTCTGGGGTGGGAGCACTGACAACTGCAGTGGAGGGAGCTGTTAGGTCTTTAAACTAGGAATAGTTAGTGGTATGGGTTTTGGCGGGAAAACAGTCAAGTCCCAGTGTAGTAATATGAGTACTAGGAGAACTAGTAATAGGCAAAATGGGGTAGATATTGGAAAGCCAGTGGCACAAATTGACAATGACAGTAATAGGTTTAGTGGAATAACAGAAAGGAGCAGGAAGGGTAAAGAGAGAGGAGGGTCTTTAATTATATTACATAAATAGTCGCAGTGCTAGGAATAAGATGGACGAGTTGAGACTAGTTGCTAGTGCAGGTAACATTGATGTATTTGCCTTAACTGAGACGTGGTTTAATTCAAAAAGTCGGGACATGCCTGCGGAATGTCACATTCAGGGTTTTAAAGTGTTCCAAGTAGATAGAAAGTGTTGGGAAGGGGTTTGGGGTGGCATTGTATGTCCGAGATCGCTTGAACTGTTGCATAAAAACGGGTATAAAGTCTGAAGTAACACATACAGAGTCTGGATAGAATTTTCAGAGGGGCATGAAAAATTAATTTTAGGTGTGATATACCGTCCCCCAAACTTAGATAGGGACCAGGGGAGACTACTATGGGAGGAATTGTTAGGGCCACAAGACACGATAATGTAGTAATTCTAGGAGACTTTTAACTTTAGTCATATTGATTGGAATTTCTTGACTGGGAATTTAGAATCATACGACTTCTTAGAAATAGTTCAGGATTGTTTTTTGAAGCAGTTTGTGACAGAACCTACAAGGGGTAATAACCTGCTTGACTTAGTTCTGGCAAACAATGAATCCCTTGTTAATAATTTAGAAGTTTCAGAGGAACTGGGTGCTAGCGACCACAAATCAATTACATTTAACATTGAATGGAAGTATGATAGTAGGGATAACTCGGTAACAGTCCCAGATTTTCGCTTAGCAGATTACGATGGGCTTAGAGAACACTTATCATCTGTTGACTGGGGTAACGAAGAGAGCTATCAATATGACAGTTTTCTGAACACTATACATGAGGCTCAAAGAACGTTTATCCCGTATAAAGAAATTAGATCAAATAGAAATGACCCAAAATGGATGAATAATAGGCTGAAATATCTACTAGGGCATAAGAAAGGAATTTATAGGCGTATCAAAAGAGGTGTCATCTTATGAATCAGTATATTGACATTAAGAGGGACATTAAAAAGGGGATAAGAAAAGCTAAAAGGGACTATGAAATTAAAGTTGCTAGGGATTCTAAAACTAACCAAAAGTTTTTTCCAGGAATATAGAACAAAAGTCAGAGATAAGATAGGTCCCCTTAAAAATAACTATGGGCATCTTACTGACAAAGAGAATGAAATGTGCTCGATTTTAAATAATTATTTTCTCTCGGTTTTTACACAGGAAGACACTAATAACATTCCAGTAATTAATTTCTATAGTGGGCCAGAAGAAGATAAATTATGTAACATCACAGTCACTAGTGAAATGGTTGTGAAGCAGATAGACCGACTGAAGCAAAATAAGTCACCGGGTCCTGATGAGGTTTTTTCAAGGGTTCTAAAGGAATGCAAAATGGAAGTCTGTGAACCATTAACTAATATTTTTAATTTATCTCTTCAAACAGGTGTAGTGTCTGATATGTGGAAGATGGCTAATGTAATTCCTATTTTTAAAACAGGGGACAAGTCGTTACCGTCAAATTACCGCCCAATAAACCTGACCTCAATTGTAGGCAAATTACTAGAGTCAATTATAGCTGAGATTATAAGAAACCATCTCGATAAGCATAGCTTGATTAATGATACTCAGCATGGATTCACAAGAGGCCGATCTTGTCTAACTAATTTATTAACTTTCTTCAGTAAAGCTTTTGAGGCTGTTGACCACGATAAAGAATTTGATATTATTTACTTACTAAGGCTTTTGATAGAGTTCCGCACCAAAGACTGTTAAAGAAAGTGGCAGCTCATGGCATTGGGGGAAAGGTGCTCTCGTGGGTCGAGTCATGGCTCACAGACAGGATGCAGAGAGTGTCCATAAATGGGGTTAAATCCGAGTGGGGATCTGTAACAAGTGGCGTTCCACAGGGATCAGTCTTGGGCCCGTTGTTGTTTATAATATGTATCAATGATCTTGATGAGGGTGTTACTAGTGATATGAGCAAATTCGCCGATGACACGAAGATAGGTAGGATAATTCATGCAAACGTAGATGTTAGGAAACTTCAGGAGGATTTAAACAAACTCTATTCTTAGTCAGAAAAGTGGCAGATGCAGTTCAATGTAGATAAATGCAAGGTTCTATATCTCGGGAGTGTCCATAACCCTAGTACTTATAAGTTAAATGATGTAGAACTTAGCCATACAGATTGCGAAAAGGACTTGGGGGTTATGGTGAGCAGCAACCTTAAACCAAGACAGCAATCCCTAAGCGTACGTAATAAGGCAAATAGATTACTGGGATTTATATCAAGAAGTGTAAGCAATAGAAGTCCAGAGGTCATACTGCAGCTTTATACATCATTAGTAAGGCCTCACCTAGATTATGCAGCTCAATTCTGGTCTCCATATTACAGATGGATATAAATTCGTTAGAAAACATTCAGCGTAGGAGGACTAAATTAATACATAGCATTAGAAATCTCCCTTATGAAGAAAGATTGAAGACTCTTAAGTTACATTCACTTGTTAGACGAAGAATGAGGGGAGACCTGATCGAAGTGTATAAGAGGAAGATAGGTATTAATAAAGGGGATGTTAATAAGGTCTTGAGGAGCTCTCTCCAAGAGAGAACCCGCAGTAATGGATTTAAATTAGATAAGTTTAGATTTAGAAAGGACATAGGAAAGTATTGGTTTGGAAATAGGGTAGTTGATGAGTGGAACAGTCTACCTAGTTGGGTTATTGAGGCTAGGACTTTGGGTAGTTTCAAATTTAGGTTGGATAAGTACATGAGTGGGAGGGGTTGGATTTGAGTGGGACTTGCACATCAGAGCTTATTTCTGGGGTAGCATTGCAAATTGGGTTGGGCAAATGTTTTGTTAGTGGGATGAATTGTAAAGGACCTGCCTAGTATGGGCCAACAGGCCTCCTGCAGTGTTCCTCCTTTCTTATGTTCTTATGTTCTTATCACTCCATCTGAGATCAATTATACCCAGGATGACTCGAGTATGGAACACATTCGTACAGCATAATGATGTCAAAGAGATAAAGTCAGTTGATCAAATGAAAATTCTGGCCCACAGATGGCTCCAACTTCATCCTGTTCCCTACTTGTATGTCTCATAACAATAAAAATGCTTTCAAATGAGCTGATGTAGGTAACAGCTCTTAGCTTGCCAATAAAGTTAGGAATCCTTAGCCTGCAAATAGCTTGTCAATAAAGCTAGGGATCCTTAACTTTGCGAAACCCTGTCTGAAAAGAGAGAGAGAGAGAGAGAGAGAAAGAGAGAGAGAGAGAGAGAAAGGGTAGTATTAGTAGGTCTCCACTACATAAATTTAATCATTAAAGATATGACAAATGGTAAAGATTGGTTAAACAAAACTCTCGTTTATAATAAATATCGCGAAATAAAATTTCCAATGACATGAGTTTCATTTTATGACGAAGCTCTGGGCCAGATAACCAGAAGTTCTCCTAACCGAGTCAGTGTTTAAACGTTATCCATAATGAGATAAAATCTCCCATCTCACCTGATAAACAATATAGCACAACCCATTCCAGTCCTCCTTCCCCCTCACACTTAAGGAAGTGTTAATCCCGTGATGCAAAGTGTTATGTAGACTTGAGTACCCACTCACTGCTGATGTAAATTAGGATACCAACCCACCTCTGACATGCCCAATTTTATTGAATACTAACCGAATACCTTACTATTTACATTCTTTTAATATATATTTTCCCAGCAGAGAAGAAATAATATAGGACAACGCTAGTCATGGTTTCACGTGCTCCATTTTCCACAGAATGGAATCTGAATGTCGTCGCCGCGGCCTTTGTCCAGATGATATGCCCAGTCTTTCGGAAATCGGTTCAAATGCAAGTCTTGTACTGATTAATAGGTTAGTTACAACTTTTATTATTATTATTATTATTATTTTTATTATTATTATTATTATTATTATTATTATTATTATTATTATTATTATTATTAACATTATTCGAGTGATGGGTATAGCTTGGGGGTTAAAGCTATTGATTCACATCCAAAAGACGAATATACGAGCAGGCAAGTCTTCTTACAATTACTGTTAGTTTCTTAATATCTGATACAAGTTTCCTAACGTTTGCTACAAGTCTCCTAACATTTGCTTCCAGTTTCCTAACATTTATTACAAGTCTCCTTACATTTGCTACAAGTCTTCTTACATTTGCTACAACTATTACTGTTACTACTCTTTCTACTCTGCTACCGAAAATTCCCCTTTACCCCTTACTCTTAAGAATGGTCGTTTCGCCTGTGAGGGAAAAGTAGGCGTAAGTGGGGTTAAGGTTGTTCGGGCATCCAGGAACCATTAGTTACGTCGCATGCACCCCCCCCTCTCTCGGGCTGGGGCGAAACTAGTTCCTGGTGTCCGATTTGTTAGTTTCTACTCCTGGTAATATTGACCTTACCTGGTGTGGGTTGAAGTTTGGAGAGTCACTTCACCTCCACTCTTCTCCTAATCGGTAGGGTGATCTACCATGAGTATTACTGTTTGTTCTTTTCTTTTGTTTTGCGGTTACCAGTAATGATTTTGGCATTTATCATTCTTTTTCTTTCTTAAATGTTTTTAAATTTTCATGACTATGGGGAACCAGTTTTCTTTTCTCATTACCAGCTCTGTTCCCGGGGTGGTCTTCCAGGATAACGCCAGATGAAGGAGCAAGACACGTGTTAAAATACTTATTAACATTATTTACTACTACCGGCCTTACCTATTCTACTTGTGCTCCATCCAAGTGTAGGGGATTCCCGAAAAATCGGATTACCATCTGCCCAGGATAACCACATAAATAACATCAGAGGAACTATCCAGGGCCATACCTACTCCTGCCCAACTAAAAGAAACTGAAGGCCAATTTTTTTATTATATTTTTAAATTTTAAGTAAAATTCTCAAAATCATTTTTCTCATTTTTTCCCAAGTTATTTCTTTATTTATTTTTTTTTCCATTAATTTCTTTGTTCAGTTGGGGAAAGGGGTTTTCCACTGACAATGGCGACCTTGCAGGATCCGACTCTTGAAGCAACATCGTCCTGATGGTTTAAAATGGTTGTGAGTATAACAAATTTAAGATAGAAAAGGGTGAGTTAGTTGAGGTGTCAAGTCATTACTGGTAGTCTGGTTGACTTACCGTTGTTTGGTTCTAAGGTTCGGTTTAGAAGTTTACCTATTTGTTGGACCTGGGAACTTTGATAATAACCCCTCCTGTGTGAACCGTGTGTATTTTGCTTAGTGAAGGCTATTGAGCCCACAAAGGGATTCTTCCAGGGAGAAATATTTATTTCATTTTTTACTTTGGGAAGTTTAAAGTGTGCGGACTGTGTCCCTCTTTTGTAACAGACGTTACTGTTAATTTTAATTGTCAGTTGAAGTTGGGTGCTTAATATTTCTTTTTACAAGATGGATTTTTAGATTTCTGGTTGAAAGCTGGAAAAGGAAATGGGATTTACTGGACAAAGCCTTGATAGTTACATTACTGCTAAAATGGCTATTGAAGAGAAAAAAGGAACAGGAAAGACTAGCTCGAGAGGAGAAAAAGGAACAGGAAAGACTAGCTCGGGAGGATAAAATCGAACAGGAAAGGATAGCTAGAGAAGATAGAGTTTCAGGCAAGAGAGGTAGCCTTCAAAAATGAAGGAAATTGAGTTAGAACAATCAAGATTGGAATTAGAAGCCAAGAAGGTAAACTATCTAAGCAGAAAATAGATGAAGGGGTACTGGAATACCCCTTTCCCCAAAAACCTAATATTAGGATGCCCTCAAATACCACCTTTCTCAGAACAAGATGACATAGCGGCATTATTACGAGATTCGAAAGTACTGCTACTCTCTGTGACTGGCCAGTAGATTCTTGGGCTACTAGGCTTTGGGTTACTACTGTCAGGTTCGCACTAAACGTCTATTCCACTCTACCCTTGATGTTATTTCTAGTTATAGCCTGCTGAAGAAAGCTATACTCCAGGCTTTCAAAAAAACTACTCATCATTACAGGTCGGAGTTTAGACACATTAAAAAAACTCCTCATCAAAATTACATGCAATTCTTAACAACACTTTTCAGATTATTTGATTCGTGGATTGATAGTGCTGAGGTTGACCACGATTCGAATCTTTACGAGACCTGTGGTAAGAGATCAATTCCTTTCTTCTGTAAACTCTGACTTACGAATATTCATTAAAGAACGAAAAAAGTCATACGGCTGCAGAAATGGCACAAGCTGCCCGATATATATGCGTGCGTCATAATAACTACCCTAAAGAGCGTAGCCAGATATAAGCCTGTTGTGCCTAAGCAATCTGGGATCCAAAACCCTCCGTACCTAAGAATTTTCCACGGGCCCTTTACAGTAAAATGTTTCAACTGTAATGAGTGGGGTCATAGACGGCCCGACTGTCCTAAAAAAAAAGGTGAAAATGTCGGTAATGTTTCACTGAATCAAACATAAAAGCACCTTTTAGTGAAGGTACAGTCAATGGTATGAATGTGTCAACCATTCTTAGAGACACTGGGTGTTCCTGTATTGTTATCTCAAATAAGCTTTTCCCTAACCTAGATTCTTCACGTTATAAGTCCACTAAGTTAACTGACTATTTTGGAAGAAGCGATTTCTTTCCAACAGTCAGATGTTTTCGTTAGGTGCAAATGGTTCTCAGGATGGGGAGATGCCGTAGTTGCCGAAAAACCGCGTGTTCTGTTTTGGTTGGGAACATACAAGGGGGTGCTTTCCCATCTGAGAAGGACTGTTTGGGAAATTTTGGAGTTTCCAAGGAAGGGTTGGAACCTAATATCTCTGTTTCTTCACAGATAGTTCCCGATGAGATTCAGTTGGATAACAAATCAGGAGCTGATGGTTACAAAACTCCGGTAACACCTTTAGTAAGTCAGTCACTTGACCTGGACAACGCAGATACCCGTGGAAAACTACGTGTGGCACAATCTATACAACAACTAGACTCGATTAACGTCCTTACCAGAGCTCAGTCCCAAGGTTTTAAAACCCATCCCCCCATTAGTTCTTTCCAAAGGAAAGCCAATCGGCTGTCCCCATATAATTTAGAGGGTCTTTAAAAGACTTGTCCTTCCTTAAGGAAACTCGGGAAATTAGCTTTAAATGGCAAGGTTTACCCAGAGAAAGAAATTTTCTTACAAGTTTGAGTTCAAACACGATCTTTTGTACAAGACTATAGTGTCTGCGGACAAGCCCAATGACGTTGGTCGAAGCCGTTAGTCCCTTCCGCAGGATTGCCGTGAAACTATTTAAAGATTTCTATGACTTGCCAATCTCCTGGCCATTTTTTCACATAGGAAGACCTATAATTAAAATCAAGGACTTATATTTCTGGCCTAGCATGTCCTCTACATCTATAAGTACTGCAGATCATGTCACGTATGTAACTTTCCACGCAGAAGGGTAGAATAGGAGAGTTCCTATGGTAAAGATGCTAATTTCCTCGGTACCTTTTTTCAAGGGTTGCAGTAGATATAGTTGACCCTATCACTCCTCGTTCATCAGGTCATAAATTATTTTAACTTCGACTATGCGTTCAGCTGCCCAAAGAAGAAAGATATTCCACTGTGGATAAAGAATTTTTGGCATTAACAGACACTTGAAAGGGCTCTGGCTATTCAGCCCCATAAGCCCAAAATCGTTCATATTTCTGGCTTCTGAAAACCACTTCTCAGATTGGCTGAGCCGAGGTTGTATTTAGTTCTTTTCCCTCTGTTCGTTGACTTATTGACTCTGTCCATAAGTTTTGGAAGGGGGTATTGTGAGGGAAAAGTAGGCGTAAGTGGGTTTTGGTTGTTCGGGCATCCAGGAACCATTAGTTACGTCGCATGCACCCCCCCCTCTCTCGGGCTGGGGCGAAACTAGTTCCTGGTGTCCGATTTGTTAGTTTCTACTCCTGGTAATATTGACCTTACCTGGTGTGGGTTGAAGTTTGGAGAGTCACTTCACCTCCACTCTTCTCCTAATCAGGTAGGGTGATCTACCAGGAGTATTACTGTTTGTTCTTTTCTTTTGTTTGCTGGTTACCATTTAAAGATTTGGCATTTATCATTCTTTTTCTTTCTTAAATGTTATATTATCATGACTATGGGTAACCAGTTTTCTTTTCTCATTACCAGCTCTGTTCCTGGCGTGGTCTTCCAGGATAGACGCCAGATGAAGGAGCAAGACATGTGTTAATAATACTTATTAACATTATTCTACTACTACCGGCCCTTACCTATTCTACTTGTGCTCCATCCAAGTGGTAGGAGATTCCAGAACATCGGATTACCATCTGCCCAGGATAACCTACATAAATAACATCAGAGGAACTATCCAGGGCCATACCTACTCCTGCCCAACTAAAAGAAACTGAAGGCCAATTTTTTTATTATATTTAAATTTTAAGTAAAATTCTCAAAAATCATTTTTCTCATTTTTTCCTAAGTTATTTCTTTATTTATTTATTTTTCCATTAATTTCTTTTGTTCAGTTGGAAGGCGTTCCACTGACATCGCCTTCTCTACTTTTCTCTCCCCAGAGTGATTTGACAATGGAATTACCAGGAAGAACGGAAATATGGACTGAGAAAATGATTAAGGAGACATTTTTCAGTGCAAGTTTTCAATTCTGACAACGTTTTAGTTGGTGTTGCTTTATCATAACATGATAAAACTCAGCATTGAACGAAACGTTGTGAGACCTGCTGAACATTCTGTTTTTTGTGCCTTTTAAAGAAAACAAAAGTGATTTTATACATGTTTAAGGCTAACAAAGGTCAGATTTTGTTGAATTTTTACAGTGTTCAAACCATCGATTACCCAGCTCGTCCTTTTGTTCCCGCCGTGGTTTATTGTGGAGGGATACACCTGCGTCCAGCACAACCTCTCTCACAAGTAAGTTACCTCCTACACATTCTAGTTTGTTTCCTTGGTTCTACAAGGCCAACTCCCATTTATTCTCAAAGCTTCCATTAAAAAAACAACATAATAGTGTTGGATCAATAACAGCTTAAAAAGCTGCTATTGATTAAGCTGAGGAATTCCACAAGGATTTGTTTTAAAAACCCCTGTTTCTGTTATCTATTACTGGCCAAGCCTCAGCACTTTCTTGGGGAATTTGGTTCTCTTTATATGTCGAAGATTTTGTTTTGTGTTTGCAAGGCACGAACATTCATACAAAGCGCAACTGACTGTACGTCTAGCTGCGCTGCGTCACACAAATTTTTTGTTTCAGTATTCAAAACAAAGTCGATTGAATTCACTCGGTGCTGTGTAATTCTTATTTTAATATGATGTGATATATTCTTTTACACCAACGCTTTTATAGGGGTTGAAACATGGGTAGTGAATGTTGCAACAAGGAGAAGGTGGGGGGCAGTGTAGATGTCATGTCTGAGAGCAATGCGTAGTGTGAAAATAATGTAGAGAATTCGTAGTTTGGAAATTAGGAGGAGGTGAGAGATTACCGAAACTATTATCCAGAGGGCTGAGGAGGGGTTGTTGAGGTGGTTCAGACATGTAGAGAGGAGGGAAAGGGAAAAAGAATGACTTCGAAAGTGTATAAATCTGTAGTGGAGGGAAGGCGGGGTAGGTGTCGGCCAAGGAAAAGCTGGAGTGAGGGGGTAAAGGATGTTTAGTGTGCGAGAGTGCTTGGACTTCCAGCAAGCGTGCGTGAGCGCGTTAGATAAGAGCAAATGGAGACAAATAATTTTTAGGACTTAACGTGCTGTTGGAGTGTAAGCAAGGTAACATTTATGAAGGGATTCAGGGAAACCGGCAGGCCGGATTTGATTCCTGGAGATGGGAAGTACAGTGTCTCCACTCTGAAGGAGGGGTGTTAATGTTGCAGTTGTATAACTGTAATGTATGCGCGCCTTTGGCAAGACAGTGATGGAATGAATGATAATGAAAGCTTTTCTTTTTCGGGCCACCCTGTCTTGGTGGGAGACGGCCGATGTGTTAATAAAAAAAATAATAAAAAATTATTTTACATGAAGAATCTTTTCTTGAAGGAGCTTGAAGACTGGGTACAAGGTGCTGGTGATGCTGGCTTCATCTTCTTCAGTCTTGGCTCAGCTGTCACGCCCTCCAGTATGCCAGAGGAGTAAGAATTATCAATGTTTCTTAATAAGAATATTGTAATAGAGGGCGCTAAACCCGTACTGGTCATACAATGCTTAAGGAATACGAACTGAAGCGGGGTTATATATGTTTCGAGTAAGGAAAGGGGGAACCCCCAGTTTCCCTTTAATCGAGATTCCTTCACTAGCTTCCAGGCACATCCCTTTAAGGAAGAGGAATTAATTCCTCTTCAGATTTTATTTAGAGTCCAGGCTTGGCACACAACCCAGAGCTACCGGGTTTTAAATATCCAGGTCTGGGAAAAGTATGGGGGAAGTTTCCTTACACTTTCTTGCCCCTGCTCACATTATAGTATAAATGGGCACTTGTGTTCAGCGAAGAAAAAATTCTGTGCAAAAAATTTTCATAGAGTCAGGAAAATAATGGAATGTAACCCACTTCTCCAAAAATTGTCTCACTTTCACATAAGTTTGCAACCCATTTCTAACTTAGGTTGAGTTAGGTTAGGTTATTTTACAAAGATAAAATTTTGATAAAAGACGAAAAAATTTCTCCCGGCGAAACCCCTCTTTTAAACTATGTCTATTTTAATGTTCAAGGCCCCTTTAAAAACAAGGTACCATTGATGATTTTGAAAAGTGAAAATGATGACTGGGGTTTCAGAGGATGGACTGTTAAAATGACAGTGTCTTCTTCTGTAGATGGAAAGAAAACCCCAAAAAACATACTAAAGGGTTTTTTTAAAAATTTATAAAAAATATTTTATTTATTTATTTATTATTATTATTTTATTATTTTATTATTATTATTATTTTTTATTATTATAGTGACAAAAAAAAAACTTTTTCACCGTCATTCATTTCCATAGTGTCTTGTCGAAGCACTCCGTACACATTTTCAGATGCCCCTTTTAAAAGGGGCCCTATCTCCAGCCCCCGGCTCAAGTCGGCAAAAAGAATTTTCCTAAATTTCTTATAAATTTTTTACATTGCTAACACTCCAACAGCGTAAATCAAAAAAAAAAAAATTTGTCTTCACTCATCCTAACAAGAAAACGCGCCTTTTGGATGAAAAAACCCCTCACATGTGTAAAACAATCACCAAATTCAAAAAGAGATGTGGTGAAAAAAAATTTGGGGGGAGAATTTTTTTAAAGAGATTTGGGGATCAAGTAATTGAAATTTTCTTGGGGAATTTTCCCCCCTACATATGATTCATTACGGTGTGGCATGCGAAGGAATGTCACATTCTATAAAGGCGCCTCTCATCCAGTAAATCGGTTTCAAAGGGGTTTTTAACGATGAAAGGGTAGGTCATTAAATCATACATTTTTTCATTGCCAATACAGGCAAGCCCCCCAAAAAGCTAAAAAGGAACGGGCCACTTGCGGTAACCATTGGCGCTTCCCTACCTGTGGTTGAGTCGTGCACTTTTTCTGGTTTCGTGTTCCAAATCTGTCCGGTGATGTACTTTATTATTCTTTTCTGTACATATTGTACATCCCCTGTACATAGCGGGTGAAGGCAAAAACTGGGTGTGTTTTTTCCACCTCATTTAACCAGGTATTGCGACCTTCTTACCATTATTCGAATACGGGGGCACTGGCAAATGAAAATACTTAGTGAGAATTCCCATACACAGAACTTGTTTTTTTGGGAAAACTGTTGCAAATTTACCTTTCCCTTAATTCCCCCCAGTTTGCCCCCTGAAAATTCTCTTTTATGTTTCTTAATTCTACAAGAAGAAAAGCGGGGCGTATGTTTTTTGTCTATAAACTACTCTACTCAAAAAGGGCAAAAATAGTTGTAAAAAATCTCGTTAAAAGTATTGCGTGTACACTGTGATCCATCAGCTGCCCCCCACAACTTTATGATCTCAAAAAAACTGTTACAAATAACATTTTTTGTTTAAAAAATATATTAATTAACTGTTTAAAATTTTTAAAATAATTAAAGAAAAAGATCTGTTTGAACAATTTAAAAAAATTTTTCCTTTTTCATTAATTTTTTTTTTTCCTTGCACTCCCCACTGTTTTTCTAAAAAATATAATAAAAAAAATTTAAATATGCGCCCAGAAAACTGTGCCCCCAGTAAATTTTCCTTAATTTGACTGACGAGTTGCATGAAGGTTTTTTCCCACATAGGAAAATCTGTTCATATTTTTATGCGACTTTGGGGAGTTTATATTTTAAAAATTTTTTTATTAAAGAAAAAAAAAACTAGTTTAACAAAATAATCTTAACTTTGTAATTTTTTTTCCCAGGATATTTAAATAACTATAACTGGATCACACATAAATTTCCACGTTTGCGTGCATGTATTTCAAAACCCAAGGGAAGAGCTAATTACGACAAGTCTGGAGAAAAAAGAGTGGTTGTAGAACAAACTTTAGTTAGGACAACTAAAGCATGTTCATTTTCAGCTTTTATCATAATTTTATAAAACACTACTCAGAGCAAATGTTTTTTATAAAGCTTGTTCTCCAACTTGTTTTCTTTGTTTTTTATTTGACTTTTTTTTAGGGTTTTCGGTAGATGAAAAGCCCGCATAATTAAGCAACCATATACAACAGGTCCCCAAACCCCCTTGGTTCAAGTGTTTGCTTCCCTCAAGCAGAGAGTCTTAGGGGAATGGGATCGGGGGACACCGGATGACCTACCCCCCAAATGTCCGTCTTGGGGAAAGTGGCTCCCACAACAAGATATTTTTTGGTAGTAAATCTTAAGCCTTAATCAAGGGGACACATCGCAAAAGAAAAAAACAAAAATTTAAGAATAATTTCTAATTTTTTTTGAATTTTTTAAAAATAAAAATATTTAATCCATGCAAAAAAAAAAAATTTTTTAAAAAACTTTTTTATATTATTCAAGTATGGGGAAAAAATAATTTTTATATTTGATAATAAGTTTTTTTTTAATATGAATTCTTTTTCGGATTTTGTAAGGTTCTCATTAAAAATTGCTGCGACTCACGGGACTTTAACCAGGTTCATTAATTCACTTTTAAATATATTATAAATAAGACCAAAATAACGGCAAAATCCAGTTTTTAAGATTTTTTTTTTTCAGAAGACACCGTGACATACCAGCGACAGAATGCAATATGTACAAAATTTAAACGTGTTCCTTAAAAAAAAATACGAATTTTTTGGAACTTTCACTTTTTTCCTAATAGAAAAAATAATAAAAATGATAATAATAAAAAGGTTTTTCAAAGAAAAGAAAAAAAAGAAAGGGGAAGAAAGAGGGAAAAAAGAACTAGTTATTTAAACAGGTGCCCCCCTCGCTTGCGTTTGTTCATCACCCCGGGGGGTTTGCTGAGTCCCTTGGAGTCCATGTCCAGGGTGTAGCGGGCTGGGGAAATGCCTGTTTTTGTGACCAGTTTCCAACAGGAACACTGCTCAGAGGGGGTGGGGAAGTTCTTTTTCTGGGAACAACTTTACTTTTGATAATTAAAGAATCGATCAGCTCATCATGAATGAAAAGAGGAAATTGTGACCACAAGATTTAGTTGTATCGAAAAGGTTGATTTTGTTTCAGTGCTTATTTTTTTCCCACCAAGGTTGACGAAAAAGATAAAGATATTACCACACTCATTCACAAAAAACTCTCCAGACATACGGGGCTGACTTTTTCAATATTTCCCTCCACAAAAAACACATCGGTCGGGCAACAAGCGCTCGTTAAAAAATTTTAAAAGGGAAGTTATATCCCGTAAGGGATTATGAAAGAAATGTAATGGATAAATGAAAATGGGAAAATTTTTTTAAAAAAAAGACTTGCTTTCCTTCCGGGGGCCGCTTGACCCCCGATAATCCTCTTAGGGATACCTAGAGACCTTTGAAATAAGAAAAAAAATGATCCAAATCTCATGCTGTAAAAATTTTTTGCAGTTTTTTGAACTGAGTGTAGGCACTCCTCGGCAAGACATTGTGAAAATGAGTGAGATAAAAAAGTTTTTTTTCTTTTTTGATCACACTGCCTCGTTGAGAAACGTCCGAAAGTGTTAATAAAATAAAAAAAATTAATAATGCTGGAGAGACCGCATATGAAAAGGAAATAGATTATTGAGGTGTCAAAACCCAAGGGAAAAGCTAAGTGTAATTTTCTTTTTTTATATTTAAGTTTATATTCATTTTTGGAAAATAGGGGGTTCATTTGACTTGAAAACCCAAAAATGAGATGGTGTTTTTTTTTATTTTTTAAACAAGAGGGTTCACCAGGGTTTTAAGGGATTCTTTTTCAAGAATAGCAAAATGGTGGGTAATGATGTATTTTTAAATCAAATAAAAAAATACAAATAATTTTTGGTTTTTGTGTGCGAGGCAGCAGAGAGCGAAGTAGCAAGAAGGTCCAAAGTTATGAAGGATCGTCCACAAGAAACCGCGATGTGGCGTTACTGGACCAAATATGTTATACGGCAAAGGGAGCCCCACATTTCCCCGTCCCGCGCCACCATGACTTTGGCAGTACCCCTCAGCAATGTAAATATAATAGTTATTTCAGACATCCCTGTGAAAAGAAAGAATTCCCAACGATTCGGATTTCCACAATACATAAATTTTTTGATTGAGAAATCACAAACGGTTGAAATTCCTATTTTTTCCACATAATATGCAGAAAATCAATGTGGAAGATAAAGTTTTGGCACCAATGGTGTTTATTGGGGCAAATGTTCCTTGTGGACGTAAAAGAAAAATTTCACAAAAAACAGCCACTTGGGGGGCAAAAAAAATATCTTTTACATGGTTGTTCTGTAATTTTATGATATCACGTTTCTTATTCAAATATTAATAAAAACAAAAAGTTTAAAATTTTATTAAAATAAAAAATAAAACAACAAAAAGAACAAACACAATCTTTTAAAATTTAGGAAAGGTATTTTGGAAATCAAAGAAAATGAACACTTCCCCGTGAAAAAACCAAAAAATTTTAAGTTTTTCCGTTGAATTTATAATGCTTAAGGGGATTTAAAAAAATATAAAGGGGGTTTGGGGGAAATGGAGAAATTGTAATTTATTAAAATT